GCAGTGATAAATAACTTTAGGTGAGACGATAAAGTTATAGCAAGATTTTTGTAGCACTGTTCACCATTAACATATGTTGATCAGTCAATAAATCACAGTTTAAAGCCAATTACGGCTCATTTTTATTTATATTTGCTAAGTAGAAAAACACGTACCGATGCCGAAGTTCGTAGTAGTAAACGGTCGTTTCAACAAAATTTGGTAGTAGATATTAATAATTCAAAAAACTACTATATTCTTAGCCTTGTTTTTGCAACACGTCTCTAACTAAACATGGCGACAAAACAATTCAGATACGTTATGAACTCTATGGATTCAGACGTTCAAAAGAATGGCGAATTAATGTTGCAAATATACAACACCGTTTTATTGATTACTTTCGATTAAGCAAAGAATGAAATCGTTTATTTAAATGACTAAATGAAAGTGCAGTGCCATGGACTATATGTCGGTGTATAATCAGTGCAATTTATAATCATTAAAGTTTTTCTGTCGCCGGAAAGACTGGCAAGGAGCGGTGCGGGTCGCGGCCGCGACAGGGGTGCACACTAAATTGAGATCTCAACGCGTGATTGATCGAGAGCGTGACTGGCGTTTTCCAAATCTCAAATGAACATATGCAAATTTCTCATTTTTTGTTATACCTACATAAAGAACTCTTTCTGTCAGTGTCGGATACGAAATTTCATTACACGTCAATGCGCCCTGTGAGAATTATTCGATCTGTCTCATATGACAGCCCTTCACCGTGCGGCATGACGACGACGACGTCTGCAGAATGGGCGCGGCGGGAGCTGAGCGCTTCGAATGCCGACCGTTATAATCCCTCATCGAGCATAACGTGTCGAGTGTAAAAGGCATCATTAACGATCGCCTTAAAAAGGCAAACCGGAGCAATCATTAAAATCGTAAAATATTGCAAAAAGAAAAGAATACCACAGCGGGGCTCGTTACGCGAGTTTCCGTTGCTACGAAAGTGAGCACAATGATGTTGGCGCATCGACAAGAAATAGAGCAAAAAGCGCTCTCAATGAACAGCAGCGCCACGCTGCCGCTGCCGCGCCACGCCGCGTCGCACCGCGGACATGCGAGACGCGGTTCAGTCGCGCTCGAGAATAAAACGATAAGCGGAAGTTTATTACGGCCGCTTAAAAGGTATTAAATATCATTTGTATGTAAATTACATATTGCAAATAGATAACGATCTTCTACTCGACTTCATCCACAGAGTGTCAGTTTGTCATAAAAACGTTTAACATATTGCGTGCTTTAAAAAAGTTGGAAGAAAATTTACATTTAAAGCAATCATATAAATTATGAATTAAAAACGTACATTACGTACTATAATTATTTCATTTGTATTGGAAAAACTTAAACGACACATGTGCATAACCAACAATTTTTTAACAATCATTGTAATGCACCCTCCAAGTGACGTGAACATCAAACATCACGCACGTCGCGTTTGCTAGCGAGGTGATTAATTGCACTCATATTCTGTGATTGATCGATTTTATTCCGTGCCAAAGCACACAAAATATTTTTTCAACTTTGAACATCTCGGAGAACATTTTAAAATCCTATTTATCATGTTCATTCAAATGTAAATGGCATACTTGGCGTGCGAAAAGTGAGGACGAGTTGGGTCGATTGTATTGGCGACGTGGTACCTTTAATTAGGTGCAAAACCTCGTACACGGGTCGCCGTAAGGTTCGTTCGGAGTAAATCTGTCCGATGATATCGGCGGTGGCCAGCAAAGCTGCGCCGCGGCGGGGCGGGGCGGTGCCGGCCGTAATTACAGCCTCGCCACTCACGCTCCGTGAGCCCGAATCTCTCTTTTTACCGAATTTTCTTATATCTCCTAACAGCTTACGGACACGCGAAATATTCGCATCGCGTGTGAATTTAAATTCTCAGCCACGGTGGATAACTAATGATCATAATTGACATTCAATACATGGAATATTTTATTTTAATTACAATCATTTAATTAATATTATAAAGAGGACAGATTTATATATTTATATACAATCAATAAGCCCAAAAAGTAGTGGACTGATTTCAAAAATTCTTTTGCAGCTAACAAAGGATATCTTCATTACTAGATTTTTTTTTGAACGGACGAAGTCACGGAAAAACCAGTTATTCATAAATTTATCATTATATTCGTAAACAACAAAGTTAGATAATTCAAAAGAACAAACTTTGACTAAGTATTATTAGAAAAAAATATTAAAATCTTATAACACGACAAGGTAGATCATCTGCCACAATTTTATTAATTTAATCTTTAGATATCTGTAGATAAATATCATAAAATAATTTAAAGCTGGTTTTTATATCACATTTAGACACCAGGAGATTTGATGCGTTAGCAGAAAACAAGTATTAATCATAGTTCTAAATTCAAACAGATATATAATAGAATTCCCAGTACTTATATATCATTGCCAATTTTATCGCAGTTGTACAAATTTATTTATGGAATCTAGTGTCTTTTTGTAACTTGTTATCATAGATGTATTATGTCTGTTATCTACACCTTAATACGATGTACCATAACTATAAAGAAAGTCTCTGACTTGACCAAAATTCAGAATCGCAAATTCTTTGCAATAAACATATGTATTGTTGAAACATCTCAAAGAATAATCTTTAATAAGCTTAAAGTTGGTCAGATACATGTATTGACATTATGTTCGAAAAGGCAAAAAGTAGCTCGTTAAGGAAACATGATGTTTGCCGCATTAAAATTATTTTATCATAATGCAGCGAGGTTATTGTTTAAGGGAGCGATATTATCCGAGGCGAGGCCCGGGCCGAGGCGGTGCGACCAGTGCGCTCCCGGGGCGGTCATTGTGTTCCTATATGGCGAATGTCAAAAGCGTCGTCTTAATTATCGGGCGCGGCCATACAATGCGCACTCGATTGCGGCGAGATAAGCACCGTGTATCTATCCGAGTCATTATTGAATGCGCCGGACGCGCGGCCCACTTGCTGCCTTAATAATAACTTCAAACGTATGTCGCATTGTATCTCTGATTATTCCGATCTAACTCCATTGAATCAAGATAAAGCGAGCTCGAATACGATACATTTCGCAAGAAAAACGAAGGAAAATTCAATTATTGCGGAATATTTCATGACGCATATTGTTTACGATCGATGCAAGCTTTAATTATATATTTGTGTTCGCTTACTTGCATTGTTATGCTATCCCTTGTAATCATGAGAACGGAAGATACGTTTTCATACAATAGTGTAGAGGTAATTTGAAAGCAATTAGTATTAGTGTGTTTAGTCTGGATTTTCTAGTTTTACTGTACTAGACGAGTTAGAAAAAAAGCCTGTAGTCCGTTATTCCAGTAATTACGTAATTTCAAAGGAAATGTCGGGAAATTCTGCAAGGGGTTTTCCCATTAATATAAGAAAATTGTAAACAGAACTCATCGTTTTTTCTTAGGTACTATTATTCCATATTAATAATTCCAAACAATAACCGGTTGTTCTCACGCGATGCAAGATTGTTTTATGACTGCTTAATTATTCGCTTGGTAAATATTTGTCAGATTAATAGTTTTCATCTTTGTTAATTTTGTACGACATTAGTAAAAAATGTATGAACATATTGTATCAATTGTGTAAATAATTTTTGTATACGTAAATAAAGTAATTAATGCTTTTAATTTATTTGTTTAAAAATCCGTAGTAAAAAATGATGTTATATTTAGTTTCACAAGAATTACTAACAAATAAAAAACTGTGTAAAAAATAAGCGGTTATGAAAGTGAGTCGTCGAAGGCGAACACGTAATGCAACCGGGAGCAGTGAAACTGAGCCGCGGCTGCGGTCGGGACCCTCGCTTTCACACCAGGATCTCGCGACACCACTTTGTTAGTGTCGCATCATAGAATTATGCGCTGACAATGGTTTTTTTTATTCAATCCACATTGTATAGTAATAGCAGAGTCATTTTGGTATCAGATTCGCGATCAAGTAATCATGAGTCTATTCGTACATATCAACTGCCTGGTAAGTATATGTATTGAGGTTTTATCTTATATAGGTACCTATAGAAAAATCGTGAAAACGCATCATAATAGAATGTGTGGTTTGATTTCAACTCGCAAAAGTTGCAATGCAATCCCTGAAAATGTTTTCAGGCAAAATTAAAAATATTTCTTTAATTAAAATATATACTACATTTTGCAACAACGTAATAATCATCATTGTTAAACAAATAGCAAAATTTAAATATAGCCATTCAACGCAGAGTATCGAACTTATTTAATGACAGCCCGTGCCTCAAATAGTCTCTTAGGCTTTCTAACGTCTGAGAGAGGTAAACATCCGGTCATCGCTTCGCTAAAGGGACTCAGTAATCAAATAACGACAAAATCCCTCGACTCTCGCGATGACTTAATGAGTGGTCTCGTTGATGTCTTTTCTTAGAGTAATGGTGAAAGTTTCTAATCATACAAAAATGTTTGACTTTTAAAAATTAAATAAGTCTTCCTAAAAAGGATTTATATTTTAAAAGAAAACTAACGTTCTTGCGGTAACGTCAAAGTTTGTCAATTCTATTAGAGTTAATTACAATGAGGATTACTTTAATCTAGCTTATTAAAGCGCATTAATTAGAAATAAGTGATATTGCGTTTAATGACTTAATTCATAAACTGGTTGTTGTTAAAGAAATAACCAAACAGGTCCAGTTAACTGCTTCATTAACTGTATAATCTTAGATTTGAAATAAATTAAATGGGTTTCCTTTTGAAACTAATCAAACATATATACTGCTTACATATGTTTCATGTTATTTATTACGTGATCAAAATTTCTTTTGACAAGCATATATTCTAATTTTTATAAATGCCAATTTATTATGTTATTAAAATTCTGCTCCACGACTAATACTAAAGAAGTGCTGTCAAATATTTTATAATAATATAATATGTGTGACTGGTGATAGCCGGTCAAACCAATAAATGTGACTTACCTTAACCGTTTGGTTTTTAAGAGGCTTGTCTGGGTCGTGGACGTACTCGAGCGTGATGCCGTAGAACTGGCCTTTGTTAATGTAGGTAATACGGTCATCTTCTCGCCGCTGGGAGCTACTGCTAGCTGTCTCGAGGTGGTATTTGAACCCGTACGGCGAAAACCTATGGAAGCACATACAAATAAGTAAGTTGACAGACAACACGACATTTATTATGATAATGATATGCGATCACGATAGCGCACAAATGCGTCGCTCCGTACGTACTACGGATCGAGATAAATCTTAAAAGTTGCACATTACGAAGTATCGCAGTAGGTAAGTCGTTGCAGTAACCATTTGTTGGAATATAAAATAAGCCGAGAGCTGGTTTGAGTGAGAGACATTTAGAAAAAGTGCGATTTCTTCTTTAAGATACATATCAACGGATACATGTTCACGACAATAAAGTTTCCATGAAGTGAAGCAATAAAAGTGAGCAAAAAGTGGAAATCTTAATTGTACGGCGAGCGGGTCCAGCCGCAGGCCGTGGAGCGCGGGGGCGCGGGGCAGCGGTGTCGTTACATAAAGGCGTGGAGATCCAGTTCGCAGAGCGTAATGAAAAACTGCGTTTTCTCGTGATTTCCTGCGCGTGGGATCGGCGGAAGGAAAAGCCCGCTAATTTAGTGGCGATCGCGTGCTGTAGCTCGTTAGGTGAGGGCGCGCGCCGGCCGCGCCGCGCCGCTTGTCGTGTCTTGTCGCGTTGCAGGCCCACGCGACATTCGCACACAGAACATTACACTAGGAAACGACGACATCATTATCTGCCTGCTCTATTGTAACACACCTTACTTATGTAATGCGATAAAAAGCTATAAATCGTTAAAGAACGCCTAATCTGCTAATAAATCTCACCGCGGTATGCAGATAGCCGGCTGCGTCGGCGCAGCTCTCAGCTCGCGGTTACACCATTACTTAAAGCTTATTGAAAACAATTTGGTAAACAATCCCGCTGATGTTTGCGATTTAAACCGAGCGCGTGCAGATAAAGGCCGTGTAATGCAAACTCGGGCCGACATTGACGGATCGGTCGCTGCAGTACTCGCCTATCTGATTCTCTCTAACTTATTCCAAACGTTATTTCCATCGGTGACGTAGGCAGCCATTGTTATTTTGACTGTTATTATTCTTTGTTTACGTGCCGCTCGATGTATTACTCTCATGATTGTAAATCGTTTTTTTGCAATTAATCTCTGTAGCAAATATATTTAAAGCATAAATTGGATTTTCAAATGATTTTTAAAACTTTATTACACTTAATAAGGCTTTTTAAGTTCCACCTGGGCTTCTTAACTGCCTACATGAATTCTCGGTACTCGATAATAAATAAGGCATTGTTTTCGAATGAGCTTCATTACAAATTTCAGCAACGCGACGGCCAAAAAAGATACTTCCTGTGTGAAGGCGAGGGTCTTTCATGAATAAATCAATCGGCGAGGCGAGGAAATTGATGATCGCGCAAAAAGCCTTCGGAACGCAGCGACAATAAAGTGCTCGAAATAAAAACGTTCGCTGCGATAAGAAGCGATGTCCCGCGGAGGCCGGAGTCTACCGCGCCAAATTAGATGCGCATAAATACGGCTCTTGCAAGAGCATGGTTGGGCATGGCCACATCGATCGATATCCCTACAACCCTTTTTACAAACAACAGTGATTAGAAAAAAACTTTAAACCTACAATATTGCCAATGTAAGACTACACAGATTTTTTAATGATATTTAAAATCTTTCAAAAAAATACAGGAAATACTATGATACATCGTTTAATTCTAACAAATTCCTTAATTAGTTTCGTGACTTAAAGCATAAACATTTAATTATATAATATATATATTTTTTAAAACCGGAAGAAGGTTAACACATTATATTATACTTTAATTAGGCACAACATATAAAGAGGTTTATAAATCAGCGCTGTCTGTCAAGGTCTGGGCGATTGGTCCGGCGATGGCATTACGGGCGACGAATGTAAATTGGAATAAGAATACCGTTTTATGCGAATTGCAGTCGGGCTCGTCTCCACCGTATCGATGCTTGATGGAAATTGAAGGACCATTGTATGCCTCCGACAAGACGTATGTCCAAACAGACACAATACTGTGAATCATAGCTGCCTATCTTAAGATCATTAAATTCGACTCCTTTTACGTAATCCTTCATTTATTTCATATCATGTACTTACAAAAGTTAACAAATTATTTATAGATTTATATTTTCGAATTAATTTTTCCCAGGCTTAAATGTGTTATTTGTTGCAAGAAGTTTAGTTTAAGAGGAAACAGGGATAGGAAGCAATCCCTGCAGCCTGGAGGCGGGTAGCGGGTTAATGAAAACGGTTAGGCGGCCCGGGCATAATGGCGGCGCGCTGATCGCCCGGTACGCTGCACCACGCACGCATCACGTACACGGCACGCACGCCACTCATCGCCCACCGCCACCGTCCTCTCACGGTAATACACTTAAATTATTTTAAACAAGTCGGTTAATGAATTCTAAATATACTTCCTAAATACCTACAGGTAAACAATTTTACATAAATTAATATCAAGACAGTTTAAAATACTTCCTGCAAAGATTATTTCTAAAAAGCAAAAAGTACTTGTTTGTTTATTAAACAAGCTTCCCGGCAGCGCTCACGATAACTTAATTGACCTTGTAGATGCGGTATGTGAGTTTTATGTGTCCCATTACCCCGCATTAGAAGCCTTTTTGTTGTGGTAACTAAATGTGCATACATTAGTTGATTAAGCTACCACTTTAAGGAAACTGATTCCAGTGTTGAACATTGCGTGAGCAAACATATGTCGTATTGGGACTCAGAGCCGACTACTTGGGCACTCCGGCTACTTAACTGGACGGTAAGTAAAAGTTCAAACAGTGGAGAGGGCGTCGGAATACCTTCGGTGCTTGCAATCGTTCGGGGAACGAGCCTGTATCGGAGGTAATCGAAGAAGTTAAAAGCGACCACGTTTATTTGGGCCAAATGCAAGCAAGTAATTATCGAGATAATAATGCTAATGCACTTATCATGTTGACGACTGCTTCCGCCGCGACGTTGACTGGCTCGGAGCCACTCGTGTAACGATTTGTTTCATCGATCCCGGTATTCAATTAAGACGGGGATTTAGTCTTCAAAGAATTTAATGGTTGAAATTAAAACAAATGAGTTCAAATAATAATGATTACTGCACGCTTTCTATTGCTTTTTATTACGTAACTTTTTATGTTTTAGTATTATATATAAAGTAGTAAGTTATAAGATACCCTTCAAATATTCGAACATTGGTCAGTGCACGATGTTTTGCTTTACCGTCGCGCACGTGATAAATCAGAGTGTAATCCGGATCCAGGAATTGAACTCAAATTGCTCTATTCTCTTGAAATCTCACCGGGGCAAGTTTTTCTATAGATTTTAATTATTTAGTAGTTCCTAAGAAACACGTATCGCGATATTTCAATTTAATGTTTTAATTGTGGAAGATCCCGTGGCCTCATTTTTAATGTTGACAATTTAAGACAATTAAATTTTAAAAAGTTTTAATTGACAGCCTGATTAATTATGATCAAAATAAACTACATTTATGGTCTAAGTTTAGGCAAAAATAAACATTTCTTTACGCAACTACAATAATGTAACATTACCTTTAATTCCTTTCTTCAATACAATGTAATCTTACCTTTAGGATCTCCCTTAAATACTAGCAGCGTGAAAAAAAAAATCATTGAAATATAGACAAGATAAAATAATTGCGTTAATGTTTGGTTCGTATGACTGTGGAATATTTACGGCATACTTGATATATTCATAATAATATTTCATTTTTGTAAATAATTACCTATTTATTGTAAGTAATTTTATACAGTATATAGTAGTATAGTATGTACTCTACTGTTTGAAAACAATAATATTATAAATATATAATAGCACTAAGTAATACTCGATCGTACTGACATCGAATAAAATATTAAGGGGAGATACATAAATGTATCTATATACAAGCCGCCAATAGTTTGAGTTAAACATGCAAATATAAAGTTAAATTATGTTAAAATATTTATTTACCTTACTAAAATTATTTTTTTTAACTGAAAGTTTGTTTTTCAATAAATATTCGTGTTTTATTTTGTTAAGTATTATAGGCCATGACATTTTGTGACTTGGCGATTAGTCACCACATTACATTAAGTATCGTTACTTTAAGATACTTAATTGTTAACTACGTACATTTACATATTGTTAAGCAATGTAATTTATTTATGTCTAACGCCATTAGGCAGTATAATAAACCCATAATCCTAAGCTACTATGTAAACGCGTATAATTTCCATATAAACTAGCAGCTTGACCGCGGCGCCGCTTAAAAAATAGAAAATCTTTTTTCGAACTATAATTTTTTTTTAATTAAAGAAAAGTCTCAACTAAAGCATAGACTTCCTTATGTAAATAGATAAATAGTTTTTCATCGAAATAACATCAGAAACTATATAACAATACTTAAAAAAATCTGAATTACATAATTAAATAACGCCATTTGAATAATTCTAATGAAACCACGTTCAAGTTTACAAAATAATAGTTTGTTTTCATAAGATAATATGGAAAAGATCCTATTTATTTACTTTAATATGAACATGTTTGTATAGCGTCGAATTTGCTTATCACGAGATACAAATTATCACCCGGGACCGTTAGATGTAGCAACATCACAATATCAAGTAGCTGTAAATGCCAGACTTGATTGTTCAGTAAACAGACACTCTTTGACCATCTGCCGACTACCTTGTTAATGACCTCAGTTTGAATCCTCATCAAAACAACACCGGATATTGGTATGAAAGTTATTTCATTAATTATATTATATATAAATAAAATAAAAATGTTGTTGAATGAAATTTAAAAAGGGAACTTACGGGATCTATACTTTTAAATTATTTTTAAACTTTATCGATAAATGTTACGTCGTTTCCAGATATTTACAGTTTGAGTAAGATTTTTTAAATTTTAATTAAAATCTGGATAGAACTTAGCACAAGCTGCTGGAAAAATATAAAATAATAACACTAAAAAACTAAACAACATTAAGGTATTAAACATAAAGAAATAATGGCGAATATTTTACGTATTAAAATTTTCGAAATAATTGAGTAAAGACATAATACATAAGCGTTAATTAACACGTCAGTGTAATCATTTACGTGAGTGTTTTTAATTAAAACGCAACAGATTATAATTGCCGCAGAATGCATTGAATTGTAACGTTTGTTACGCGCCAGGCACATACAAAGTATTTCATTAACACATAATATACACAGTTCCACGTCGTAATTTTAACGTAGAAAATATTATACAACTCTAACTAAATATGTTATAATTACTTTTGACGTTGAAATTATAGGTTTCAGTTGCTCGGAGTTAAGTATACTCATGATTTTAGATAGTTTAGTAGATATAGCGATAATACTTCCTTAAAAATGAATCTTTTACACATTTTCATACAAGTATTAACTTAGTATTAAAATACCAAAGTTCCAAATACTACTTAACGATTGTCAAGCCGGTGAAATCACTAAAATAACAAGAAAAAGCAAACGCAAGTAAGCCAGATGTTTTTTTTATAGTGATGGAACTTTGTTAGTTTATAATGTATAGCTACAACAATTATGTTCAAATTAGTAACATAAATTACTCATATGTTACGAATAATGTAATTTTATTCGAGGTAACACTGCGTGTGTTCGTCGTTCGATGTTTTTTCCTAGAAAGGGCCGTATAGAAGATAGTCTGGAGGTGCGAAGTGGTCGGTCAATAAGCTTGTTCAGGTCGCTGGCAGTTTCCTCCTATTCTCAGCCAGCGGGTATCGAACGACGGTAATCAAATTGTTTTAGGTGTTTACGCTAACCATTTACAGGCGTACCGTGAATTATTTTTATTAACGGTTTGCCGTCAACTTACCAATTGGAAAATTCATTTTTAACTCGATGTTTTTATAATGATGTTATTTTTATTATTCATTTTCAAAGAGAAATAGATTTGAGTATTTAATTAACATACTGGCCGCAATAAATGAAACAAACATTTTATGAAGACATTAACAATTTTTAAGAAAATAAACGAGTAGGATTATACCAATGAATTAAAGATAAATTAAATCTTTTCTTATCAGCTATCAACTTTTATACTTATCAATTCCCAGAAAATTTATTATACTAAACACTTTTATTATTACGTAATAATATTTTAATATTACTTAATTAAATAATATTTTTGATTTAAAACGTCTTTACGTTATCTTATCTTGAGTGAATATTTTTCTTAACGTCGCAAGTAACTTAGTCCCCACATTACTTAGTGGCGAGTGTAAGTGTACCTACTGTAGCGCCTGTCATTAATATGCGTGGAAATAACGCACTATGTTTATGGCAAAACAGGTAGATTCTGTAAGCACATTTACTCGAATGGATAATGTTGAAGTTTCTTAGTGGATATTTAAATGTAATCAGCGAATAACGGAACGTTGGAAGAAGTTTTTATTAATACTGAACGATAAGTTTTGATTACTAGCATAAGAAAGTCATAGTATGCTTTGCTTTTATCATAATTCTATTTTTGGATCTGCTTGTTTGGTATTTGAAAAGCCGATTTACCTCTACGTAATTTGAAGGCTTCAACAATATACATAAAACAAAATGCGAACACTAACGTAATCTGTACCTAGAGACGGGAAATCCCAAAATAAATTTTATGTTTGAGAAATAGAGGGCATAGCTTCAGATATATCAACCTCGCAAATTCATGATAAATGTTCACACTTCGTTAAGTCGTCATACGATTTACTTGTTACCAAACATCAAAGATACAAGCTTATAAATTCACACATACTTTAAAGGTTTTATATATTAATGAAATCAATGAATTTGCGGTAAATGTCAAGGATAGCGCATAAATGTACAAAGTTATCAAGACCACTTTCTACTTTATAATATTTAAAAACATTATTTAAACATATAAACATTCCACAGTCGATTACGTGTTGACACTACAAGTAAATACGGACTTGAAGAATTCGAATTGCTTCGTAATTTATGGAAGAATGAGAAAAAGAATTTTATTGAAATAACTTGTCCAAAATAGATGTTTAGTTTTGTAGTACTTACAGTTTGGCGATTTGTATCTTGTCTGCATCATTTTGTCGACCAAAGTCGTGCCAGGGGCGCGTACGGGGGGGCTGCGCGGGGGAGTGGTGCGCGGAAGGGGTACCGCGGCCGTCCTCGCCCACGCCCGGCTGCTGGCAGATCACCGTGTACTCGAAAGACTGTGTGGGATACCATTTCTCTAATTAAAAATTTATTTTTTTACATAACACTTTGTAGTTAGATATTACAAGGTATGTACATAATGTTACGACCAGATATAAGGTAAAAGGTCTATAAAAATCGTGAGGCAGAAATTAAAGATTCAGAGTAACTTTACGTGCTCATTCCACCAGAGTTTATTTGAACCATTGGTTATACGAGAATGCCAAACTTATTAATTATTACTTAACAGGTCTTAATTTTGTAACAGAGACGTGTGTTACAGGATCGCAGGTCGAAACAAACATTTACGTTTTTGCGTACGAAAGGTAACAACTTTACCGTCACTTTTTTAGTGCTACATTACTTAACCCCTAATTTCTAATTTAATTTTTATTTTAATAACTTAATGTTGTAGAAAATATTAAATGCAATGTGTTAGTTATTCTTAAAAATAATATTTTTCATTAGTCATTTTAGTGTTAAAAAGTAAACAAGTACCAGGTTACTAAATTAAATTCAAGTTATGAAAAATTCACGAGCAATTTGATCGCGTGTTGAAGTGATATGCGCGCGTATTGCTATTAGTTACGTGTGTTTCAATTTGTTTTATTTATTTCATGTATTTTGATCAAAGAGGTTCGTTAAAAGGCAAATTTAAATATTGTGTTGGTTCAAATTTTAAATTAAGATTTATTATTACTTGTTTTTGTTTCTTTCCACATTTATTAACATTTTATGTAATCTTTTCTATACCTTCTTCAATCATTTTATTTTTAGAACATCAACAATTCACAACAACAGAACATTTAAATTAGTGATCACATCGGAAAAATTTTGTTAACATGAATAAATGAATAATTAATTTTTACATAAAATACTAATTCAAAAATGTTGTTATTTGTTCTAGCTCTCTATTGAAAATGTAAAGGTAACAAGAATTAATTTCATGTAGTAAAAAGTCTAACTGGAATCTTAAGGTTATCAATCTTGTATTTATTAATATTATCAATATTCTTCCACTTCTGTTTTGAATAAAAATACTCTAATTTGTTTATTATATTATCAACATAAATCCAAAAACCAATTTTGGAAATAAATTGCAAAAATATGTAATAACAGAAATGTTTCGTTGAAAATTAATATTTCGATATAACAATAAATTTCAATATTACCATAACGACATCTTCAAACTTAATCGAACGCTATCGTGACAAATTTTTCATTAATGATTTTTTATTTAGGTATGAACGAGACACAAGTCCGAACACCAACCAGTATGGCAGGTTGGAGGCCGTATCACACGGGTCTTTTTTTTCTCTCGCATGATTAATTTCAATCATTCACAGTAGTTTCCATCCTCGTCCCCTCGATCGCATTTGTGATAACCCTAAAGGTTAATGTCTATCACTTATTTCATAGAATATGTATGTTAAAATGTATCGTTTATAATACAAGCGCGGATTATTAGATAAATATATTCGTAGGTAGCGTCGCCAAGTTATAATCGGTAGGAAAACTCCATTTAAAACATATTTACATAGATGAATAATATTAAGCCAGTGAGTTGCTTGACACAAAACTGAAAACTTGCTATCGCACTAAGTATGTTGAATCAAGTATACAGGTATTTTAAAACACATGGGAATCACATGATGTGGTAAAAATAAATGCTAGCCACATAAGAATAATTACTGGGAAATAGTTTGGAGTTGTTAGGCGGAACATCTTTGTATGATATTTTATTTTTTAAGTTTAAAACAATTAGGCATTTCATTATATGTGGTTATTATCACCTCTATGTGTAACAAATTGAGACAGAAATCCCAACTAATCACAATTACGATTGCGTATATATCACGCTATTTCTTGTTTAACTCAAATAATATCGGTTACTTTTGAAAAACAGGAAGGAATTAAAGACTTGTTTTTTATGAACTTAAGTAACGGAATGGTAGGTTTGTTTGTTGTTTTGATAAATTAGTATAATATTATTCTAAAAAAAACGTGGAGGTGTCGTGGGATTTTTTTTTAATAATAACATTACATTAAATTTAACTACCACGTTATTTATGATAATAGTTAAAATTATTAAAATATTAGTATAATTACGTCATCGTTTCCTAGTACAAGCGACTCACAATGATATCAATAAACTTAACGACTTTTAAGCATAATAATACTTAGCATTAATTTTACGATATGCTAAATTATGTTTAATTGGCAAAGAACTTGGATATTTCGCCACAACCGTACATATAATATGTAAAGAAATTCATCACGGCTGAACATTGATTTGAAACGTGAAACAAAACGGAATCTTAAATGTAATATTAAATGACATGATTTGAATTTAAATAATGTACATAATCAGTTAATGTCAACATTATATTAGAATTGATTCTATGGCAGTAGAACAAAAGATAAACGTTCGTATAAGATAGTATTGTAGGCAGGCTGGGCTCGTGATAGCCGCGCCTTGAAGGTGCAAATCCTATATAACTCGGCTACCGGCCCGATTATAGTCATGCCAATTTGTTATTTTAATATGATACCTCAGAAATATGTAGTAAAATGGAAGGGGCTTTTAAATATGTCTCGCAGAAGGTCACAATGTCGTGACTTTATAAATGATTCGATGGAGATGGAATAAATTGGATCTTTGTTGAATAACAATTTATCTGAAGTATAAAGAAACAAAAACCTAGTGTATCGTATTTGACTTCCTTGTATTGGATACAATACATTCGTATTGGATGAATAAACAAATCAAGTTAGTAATTAGTGGGCATCTCTGTTACGTTTAATTTATAACTGTTTCGACGTATGATAATTGACTTTAATTACATTATCATTGGTTATGCTACCTTTACAAAAGAAAACGTTGAAAATCAATAGATTCTTCGTTTATTGTGAAATGGACATTAATGGTCTTATTAGACATTTATCAAATGATTTCCCTATTGGATACATTCGACTACGATTCTGGAGACACTTCATTTAACCCTATGTCCTATGTATTAAAGTATTTTAAAAACATTATAACCAGAAATCATAGCTTTCACCAATTACAACCTATACGTTACATTTTTGTAAATAAACTCTGATGAAAATTGTATTTGGTATCTTCTGTTATTTTAAAACCTAGTTATAATAACCATAACAGATATTTTAAATCTTAAGATGTCAGACGAACACACTTAAAACAGGTACATGCAGTAGAAAATAAAAAAAAATCAAGAAGGTGCGAGAGGGTGGGCTTCTGGAATAGTCAATATCGTCGATAACCGTGCTGTTTTTTGCGAAATGTTACGATTGATAGAAAAGTTCTACAAACATGTATACTACTCTCGAGGTGCATAAACGAGTTTTCCTCGTAAACTCGGTTCTGTACCTATCCGTAGCTTATTTTAAATATCTTAAGAGAAATTATTAAAAAATCTATAAATGTCAAAAATCATAACATAAGAATATCCGCAAATAAGCAAGTAAGCATGTTTAGTGTTTTTGTATGTGTGTGTTGTGTGTGTGTGAAGCCCGCCCGCCCGCGCCCCCGCCGCACCGACCTGCTGCACGGCGGTGTGGTCTCGCGGTGTCACCGCATCCGCGCCGATGCCACTGTCCGGCGACGGCAGGTCCACGGTGAGCCCAGCCGCTGCGATCACGCTTTTGCTGTGGTACCGGGGCGCGGCGTACCGCTCGCCGAACGTCGACGCCGGAGCCGGCTCCGCGTCGGCGTAGGGAGGCGCGCTTCTTTGCTGGTATCCATCGCCCACAAAGTACTCTCGGTAGTAAGGCTCTCCGGCGAAGGTGGCTGGCTGACGAGAATACTGATCCCCGTATGGGGTAGGGCTAGGGGTGCCGGGCGGCGCGAACATCTGCGCCGCATACATCGCCGCGTCCGGCAGCAATGAGCCCGCCGAGGAGGCGCGCGATGGCACCGGCGACGGCGACCCCGCTTCCCCGGGCTCGCCGACCGCCACCTGCGGACACACGCGCCGGTTACACGCGTTCTCCCACGACAACTGTCCGGTCCGCAGCGTCGACGCATACATGCCGCGTCAAGTCACAGTTCACAGCTTCACGTACACTACGATCGTTCGCAACACGTTCACAGAGCGAATGTGAAAAATCCTATGGGTAACAGAAAGGTCCTCGTGGTTGCGGTGCTCGGTGCGCCGGTCAAGGGGCGCGGGCGGGCGCGGCTAGTGCGGCGCGAGCGGAGCGCTCGGCGCATCGTACGCTAGCCGCGATAGATAACACATGAGTGACCGGTAAAGAGGTGTGTAAGTGCGTGCGCGCGCGACGGCGGCGTGCGGACGTGTGACGCACCTTGTGTCGCGGCGGCTTGAGCGCGTGCGGCTCGGGCTCGTCGACCACCTTGCGGCTGAGGTCCTCGGGCTCGCGCTTCACGCTCCCCGCGTGCAGCAGCACCGACAGCTCGCCCAGCTCCGCCCCGTGCGCGCCATTGGCCGCCTTCAGCGCGCCGCCGGCCCTGCGGAGGGGAGACAAGCGTGATTGGCGACGCCCGGCAATGCGTGCGCGCCGCTATTTCTACGACCGACCTCGTCGGGCGACGAGCGACAAGCGCTAAGCGCGCTTATCCGTACTGTCATATTCACACTTTGCAACACCTACATACCCTATACAATTCGTATCTTCTATTTATATTTTCTAATAAATAACTAGTATGATTACTTTAGTACAATTTTGTTGAGAAACCACAAAAATAAAAGTATTTTCTAGTGACAAATATTTTTTTTTGTATTTCATGTTATTTCCTCTTATTCGTAGAAGTACATTTACTTTTAATTTTATTTAAACATAAATACTATATTAAAATTACAAAAACATCTGTTGTAAAACAGCGTAAAATTTGTAAAGGTGAAGAAAATAAATTCTAAAAAAAGAGTTACTGTAAATAACTGTAGGTAAACCTAACAAAAGTAGACAGAGACTGTTATTAATTATTGCATCTCATCAAATCACAGACATACTTCAACCTAATTCGTCAACACTGAACAGCCAATATAAAAGCACACTCTGTATACAAATATTTTTAAACAATGTCGTGTTCATGAAACATACGACAAATAATCTTCATTAAAATTATATCTTATATTATATAGTATCAAAAGTAAAAACCACTACAATGTACACTATAAAATATCAAAGAAAAATTAACAAGAGTAACTATTTTATTAGCCGACTTCAAAAATAATAAGAATTAACTGTTTTAATGAAATGAGATGCAGTGACGATGTCGTAGCAAGTTTCATCACATTGATTAATTTTACCTCAGCACGAAACTGTTTCTCATCATATCTTAGATTTATTATTTTCATTCCATAACCAATAAAATCAAAAGAGAATAAAACATAACAGTATTAAGAAGTGTAATGAAACTGAAATCTTATCGATTATTTATTAAATCTAATAACAAATCACTAGTGCTGATAACGAAGGAATTAAAATTTAAGTAAAAATTTTTTTTGTAGAACTAGAATTAAATAGATTTCTATAAAATAGAATAATATTGATATCGAAATACAAACAGAATACGGTTAATCACTAAAGTAGCTATTAACACAGCTAATTATTAAATTATGTAAATTATGAAGCAGTTTTTCAGAATAACCATATTCGTGGTGTATTAAAAAAATTAAAGGACAAGTGGAAAATCGAACGGCACCGGAGAAGTGGAGATATCTTCTTCATATCATAACGGAAAAACAAATTGCCCCAAAATTATAAATTGAAGTTCAACATCATCACCAATGTCTCACTTAAAAAATTAAGATTTAAATGAAACAGCACATGCAAAGTAACAAAAAAAATATCTGCTTTTAAGTTTTTGAAAAGTAAATGTGTTTTAATTGGTAACTCAAGTGTGACATTAAAATGATAATCGTCAACATAAAAGAGTCATCAGTACGTATAATTTTGTCTTACGACTAGGAATTCCCAATAGTTACAGTTTACGTCGCGTGTATGACTACCATTAAGCACACCACTACACCACTAATATCCATATGCGTTTCCAATAACATTAGCATTATTGACATCTTCTACGAAACGCTTGTAATGTTCTCTAAGAAACAAAAAAGACTTTTTAAATAATTATAGGAGGCATTTAGACAGTAACGCTAAATAACTTTGACTCGGTGCATATGAGTGAGTGGGCACTTGGGGCGCGGCGCGGGTTGCGGGGCGCGGTTTTCGTCGGCCGGTGTCGGCGAGGGCCGATTTATGATAATTGAAGACATGTTTCATTGGCGCTCAGATGTTTATTTTAGATAAGACAGTCGGTTGGCACTATTTCATGCGTCCGATTCGACCGCGCTGCGCGACCTCCCGCGAGCAGCAACTCCGATTGCAGTGTTCGCTTCGTTTATTCATCTCGATTTATGCTTGCGATTTGTAAACCAAACCCAAAGAGCGTGAAATCGCCACAATAATAAGACAATATTTGATTTATTTTTTCTGAACGCTACAGTTATCCGTTAAACATGAACTGCCTGCATTTCGGAACGATGACAGTTATCTTTATTCTAAGGGTGATCAACTCTTAGGTAAATAAGACTTCGTTTAGGTAAAATGTTTTTATAGATCCAAGTTCAAGTCCGTCAAGAAAAGAGCATTTTGTTCCTTAAAGGTTGGCAATGCATTTGCATTCGATCTCTAATCTGACTATCGATATGTTGGCCACCCCTGCCTTTTTCGAACGATCGAGTTTGTGTTGTGACATCGTGAAGGGTTTACGTTGGCATTTTTTTTGTTAAAGCATGCAAATTGAGTTTGCGTTAATCCTGGCATGATGTGCCGGAGGCAAAGTGAGGCAAGAATCGTTATTCATGTGTTCAGGGCGCGGCTGTTTACATTTTGTTTATTGTCTGTGGCGGTATGAACACGACACAAAGCTGTCGGCGCGGCGTTGACAGCTGACTTGACAATTGAACCGAGGAATGTGCTTATTTCGTGGAATTTCGTAACACTAAATTGTCAATTCAACAATCACTTTAATTTCTTAATTAATTAATCAAGACATTCGGATCTTACATTTAATTCAGAGTCGGTGTAAGATATAGGTTCTGTATTTTTTTTTGTCTCAAACATACATATTACAGAATCATATCTTAAAAATTCATATTATAATAAATTGGTTATAAAATGTTTCCCACTGAATTTTACCTACGCCTGCTTTAATTATCTAAATTGAGGACAAAATTGTTATTGTACTTAACGTATTAATTTTCCTTATTATGAGTAAAAATAACACAACATAATATGATACAAAATAAACACACCATCTTAAAATAGTGATGTTAAAAATAGAATTAACATTGAAATGTTGCCAGTAAAAAATCTAAAAAAATGAATATAAATGTTTCAGATTTTATAGAAATGTTTTTACTTGTATATACTTTTTAACTTTAACTTTTATATTTAAGATTTTTGCAACGCATGCCGGGTGCAACTATGTATTTACCAGCCCTACAAACGTAAATAGAAGTTAAATTCCCAAACTCCAAATCTGATATCAGTGTCATGTTGCAATAGATTAACATAACATTGCGCACCATAAAACATGTCTCTATGAACACCTTCTCTACCAACAGTAACTGTATTTCGCATGCAAATGTAAAAGTGCATCGCGTAAGCATCTGTATGTTGCCTACTCAGATGAATCGCGTCCGTAATTATTTGCAATGTTTACTTAACACCCTTTCACACATGACGAGGCATCGACAATGCACCGCTAGGGGCAACATACCCTCGATAAAAATATCAGGTACGTCAAATGGCTTATCGCTACCGAATCAATCTTGAATAAAATCTTCTTTAATTTAATTTTCGATCTGATTTGAATTCGAATTCATAGATTACATTTTTACTGTGTATATTTAAATAAGCTTGTAATTTATACGTAAGAGTTAAATTTTGATTATATCAGCCTAAATTTTTATTAGCCTTCATTCTATATTTTATGTCAAAAGCAAATACCGTTTTGACTGTTATATGTACATGTGTTCAGCATAGCTGTTATTGTTAAATATAAAATAGAACTAACTACAACGAATCGGAATTTTAAACGAAAAATATTGTAATATTTTTCGAATAAAATAATTATATTATTGTAACAAATAATCTGATTTGTATGCCATGAACAAGAAGGAATATTGTCATTAATAAGTAAATTTGATTTACACGATAGGGCTTTGCTTGAAACTAGAACGAATATGTTTTAGCGCAGCTGCGTAAGAACCTCGCAAAATACGGTCATGGAAGCAAGCGAAGCTTTGTTAACTATGGCTAGTTAAGGTATCTAACTAATTGAATCTATTCCATCTCTGCAACCACTAATAACAGTATTTAACTATACAGATTATATTTTAAGGTTGTTTTAGACCGATGGCTTATTATAATTTCATATTTAAATATTCTGCGACGATTTTCTGCGTCGAATTTTTACTATCAATTATTGTCTTAAAGAAGAAATCCATGGAAATTATAACGAATTCACTCTTCCCTTTTGGATTAAAATGTTGGCCAAATATGGCTGCAATGCATAAATTACACATATTCGTCACTATGTGAGTTATTCTGACTTCACAATAAACGTTCAAAGTATACCGAGTAACATTAGTTAAGTAAATATGCAAGTGTACAGAATAAATAATCGCATAAAATAAATAATCAAGTAAGTGTGTAATGAATCTAAGAAATAAACATACATTAAAGTATAACTATCATTACGATTACGATCAGAAGCGATGACAGTTTATACATCGTTTGACGAATAGATTAAAATCTATTGAGCGATAAAACTACATAAAGAAGGCGCTTGCAGCGGATGTGAGCGACGTAATTCCATTCTATTTGAATATATCATTCGGCCAAATGTAGGTTTATTGCCACTTTTCTCACGGAACTGATATCTTAGAAAAAAAATGAATTGAAAATGAATACGCCGTTTGTTAATGTCAATAAACAAGAAAAATGACGCATGTGAGCGAATCAACTCCTTTGCCTTGCAGGACTCAGCTAATTAACAGTTTTCTGAGATGGCAACTGATAATAATAATATAGACAGCTGCTCCTTACAATTCGCACAGTAACTACGATAATTGGATTTCTTTAGATGGCCGAGTGAATGGAAAATACACGGTTGAAAAAATGGTCAAGACCCGATTTCATATTTCACTACGCGATGTCCGACGCTGTCCGCGATATAACGACCTTACTGTATTCTTTATACATTATCCTCGGCAGAGGGTCGGCCGCTTCCAAGGGAATCGTATGGTATTAACTACTAAGCTATAACAATGCAGACGTATCTTCAAGAGGAAACCGGTTCCGTTCCTAAATGGGTCACACGGTTCCAGCTCCCTCAGTTTTTGTTAAGCAACCGCGACGTTGCATTTTGCTCCGTTGCCAATTCTCCTTTAATCTAAACCGTTTATATTGTTTTTAAATTATACGCAGCAAAAAGTTTTACGAGAAATAAGTTGAACGTTACCCCGTTATTGTACATTGACTAATATAATTTTTCCATTTACATGCGATTACGATATCCCGAGGGGAAAATTAAATAATTGATACAATAAAATAATTCCCCACTACTCGTTCGTTTTGCTAATAAAAAGTTCGATTAAACTATGTTTCATTTAACGACTATTTATTTATTACTCGACCATTAAGTCGTCGTTATCGTCTCGAATGGGTTCTGTGATATTTTAAATATCCATTTAATTTATATACCCAATTAAAGCGTCGCATACTAAGTGTTTACAGAGAAACCGATTTCCCGTTAGTTGTGAGTGTGATCGGCGACAGGGTCAAGAGGGCGCGGCCCTCCCCGGTGCCGTGCCGGTGCCATCCCGCGCGTTTCTATGCTAATCTTTACGCTCGTATACACGGCACCCCGACAGCTATTAATTATTATAGTCATCGTTTTCACTTAATACCCATGTTACCAGTAACCAGTATTCTTAGCCTCCGAGCACTGCAAAGCGCTGCGCTATCCACATTGCAACGTTTAGGAATCATACGCCTACGTCAAACTACCATGGAACGTTTTATGTATATATACATACCATCCGAACTTGTTGGCTTCAATATCTATCGAGCATTCAATTCAAATAATATGAGCAATTTAGTCTACGAAAACGGAACCGAAACTGACGATATTCTGGCACTGAGCTACATAACGGATTTGCATACAAACGCATGCGGCGACAACGTACGAATGGGTGCGGGCGAGCCGAGGCATTCGTTATAATTTTGAATGTATGAATGAGAAATAGCAGCGCACGTCGAGCGAGCGCGCGCCGCGTGGGCCGCGTGGGCCGCGCGCCGACAATGAGCCGCGACGAACGACGAGTCCCGGCCGGCCTTGTCAATGAGAGCAACTTCCATCTACATCCGTCTATTGTCGTCATTTGTATTCGTGGTTGAGAGTACGCGGTGACGAAGATGACAGGCTGAACGCGTTGCGGCCGTCGCCGGAGACAATGCCGCAACTCCAGTCGGAGGCACTAATGCTGACGGCCATCGACGTGTGCGGCTGCATACAAAGGAGCAAAACGGAGACCGCTACCCACTCGAATATTTGCTTCGTGTTACATTTTATATATTTATTGTAATGCCCGCTGCGCACGTGGGCTTCTGACTTAACTTTTTAAATGAATAACATTACCTTTGCATCGGCATCAGAAAGTTACATAATCAATTACTACCCTTGTTTATTTCATTTTCGCAAAAGTAGTTGGTGTACTCGTGGTGGCAACACAAGAATGAAATTGGAGGGTTTTATAAGTGTAAAAATACCTGGAGTTTTTTGAAACAGTGAGGTTTTTATCGAAAGTGTTTCTGTTTATTAGTTTTATATTTATATATGTAAGTTGCTTGCGACACTTTTTTATATTATAATGCTTCATTTTTCCATTACAAAGAAAACAGAAGGGCAAACTAGCCCGCGGGGTCAAGTCAAAATGATGCACTTTTTATAATGACAATATGTGTCGGCGCGGCGTGGCGTTTGCTCATTTCTGTGTCACCATTCAAAGGATGCTGTTAACAACGTCTCTCAAAGAGCGGGCATAATTTGATCGGGGTCGCGTTTCTATGAGAATACCGTTGAATGCGCTAACATTATCTCCTATGAATAGTTTTATGTCCTTTATAAATTTTGAATGGCGTTTATAAAAATAAAATAATTTAATATTTTTGCATCTAGATTCGTTTGTGTTGCAAAGCCATAACGATGTGTCCTGACACTTTTAATATGGTAAGATTTTTATAAAAATATAGTGTAATATTTTCATGTTTAAAAATTAATGCAAGAAGTTTTATTTCAGTAGATCTATAGATTCAATTATCATAAGCACATACTGATTTTAGTCAGTAGGTTGTATTTATTTTAGGACAAATTAAAGTATACAAAAACTATCACATTTACAAAAAAATATAGCAACTGTTTCTTCAATCGAGTGCAAAAAATATGGTAATCTGTAATGATATGTGCAACGAGTCTCAGGGGTGAACATTCTTAGCTTCGCGAACTCTTATTTCTTTAATCTCGCTATACGTATTCAAATGAGTGCTTATGATTTATTGAGTGGAACATTAACATTTTTATTATTTGTTATTCTTACACCTTTCGTTGGGGCCGGAAGACACGCGGCCTATGTCTCAGTGTACTCAGCCGTGAGACTCGCTCACACACCGCGCTGCAAACACAACGCACACAAAAACTACTCAGCAGACACAAAAGATAACATATTATCATAGTTTACATATAAATTTTACGCGAATTCATTCTGTATTCACGGCACCTCGATATTCGTCGATTATAATGATAATTGCATCGATACACGAACGTTCGATTTGATGTACGACCGTGAGAAGCGGCCGATTGATTTTCCGCAATCGTATTACACTTGTCTCGTTTACAAAAATGAATTTATTTGGTTTAATCTTTGTATTTATATTTCGTAAACTAGTATCTGTAATAAATATTAAGAACTATGGGATATGAGGAAAACGTGACATGGCTAGCAGAAAGTTTTTCTTGTAGAAAATAATTATTACGCATAGATGATTGGAACGCCTACGACAAACTCTTATACACCTTGCCATGTAGGAGGAGAGCTTTTGTATGGCTACGGCTCGATAACGTTACTTTTTACGGTTTAGAAAATAAAAGGTTTTTGATCTCAATGGCCATAAAAAGCTAAGTCGGCTTAGATTACTTAATGAAGTAAACTTGCTATTACGAAGTGCAGTTATTTAATCTAAGGCTAAGCATATTAAGATATGAATTATGTAAAAATCTAATAACTAGCCTAAGAGCATTATCTCTGTCTACCCCTGGTAGGGTTACCTAGCCTAATGCAACACTTAAATATTATTTCTCGTATAAAGGGGAGCAACTTACGGCCAGACGTCAATTTTAACATCTTTGTGTAAGTTCAGGTGTGCGTCCTGCGCGAGTGGCGGCAGCTTGTAGTACTCTGCGACGAGCGGCTGGGGTTGGCCGTGCCCGTGCGCGTCCTCAGCGACGCCCAGCGCCGCCGCGGCCAGCGCCGGCTCGCCGCCCGCGTAGTACGTGCGCCACGACTCGCCGCTCACCTCCATCACCTCCTTGCGTCTTCTGCAATAAACAATATTACTTACTTACTTCATACACGACTTGTGCAACTCATTTTAAACATTAGATATATTTTCGAGCCAAATCGTTATTTTTTATCAATGTGTGATAGGTATTCGCATATTCGCACAGCAAAAAAACCTAGCAATATAATGATTATTATGACATTCGATAAAAACTGCTCGTATACGAATTGTTGTTTGTCATTGATTCTATTGAATCAACAAAGTAAACACGATGTAATACGCTGATACCCGAAGCTTGTAGTTTTACAACTGGACCGACTACAACATACAACCAGTTATTAGGCGTGACCATTTTGGTACGGATACTGACCTTTGATGGTATACATCGGCGGCCGTCCGCATCGAGTATGACGCTATAATACGTACGCTAATTGTTGCGTATACTAACCGTGAGTCAGCACATCAAGTGTCCGGTTAGAGAAAACTGAATTACCACTGAATACGGTGGCCGCTTCATTTTTTTGGTTTTGTCTGATATCAGAGCAATACAAGTGGACGGTATCGGTCGATCGAATCATTTGCATCTGTCGACGGAGCGATTCTAATTTGGAGGTTAGCCTGTTGCGAGAGAGCAGCGGCTCGTGCTCCGCGGGCATACGTCACGCGGCCGGGCCGGGCCGGGTCGCCTGGCGCTGCGCAACCTGAATGTAGAACAGGTCCGAACCACTTGCAGAACCGGAAGGATACGAGGCAAATCCCTGCTCCCTCGCCAACCAGTTTAGGTCGTCTGACGTCACGCCCAGCGGTATCCGACGGTGCAGACAAATAAATAAAAAATGTTGGAAGCACGCGTCGGACGAGTTTGACCGGATCGTAGTTCTACCTGATTCCTGTTCCTCGTTCATACTGCGCCGGAGCACTGCTCATTGTCATAAATGTACCACTACACAAACAATAGAAGAAATAAGAATATGAGTAATTACCATCAGAAAACGTCTTATAAATAAAAAAAAATTAAGTTGCCTTCTTTTCTAATACATACAAATATAGTATTATAAAATATGTATACATGTGGTTAAAGTGCAGAAAACTGTCGTCAATTCAAAAAAGTATACATTTGATTATTAAACTTATCATTTCATAATAAAATCCTGTCTATACACCAAAATCTTAACAGCAACTAGTTTAAATAAAAAATGTAATAACTACACAATACAGCATTTTTTAATGTAAAAATTCTGGTAAAGAGTAAAAGTTATGCATAAAATACCTGTAAAACCCGAAGTTAAAAAGAAAACGTGACTAATATAGCAATTAACATAGGTTATTCAAGAGAGCTGTGCTGGCGTCTTTCAAGAATAGAATATGCGAATCAGTTCAGAAAACTGGAAAAGCCAGGTTCTGGCATTTAACCAGCCGAAGCGTGAGTCATTTGACGAGTTAACTGGCAGGCGGTGGAAGCGGGGGGTGCGAGGTAGGAGGCGCGGGTGCAGCACGTGAATGAGATTCCGGTAGGTGCGCACGTAAAAATCGTGCAACGAATCTAACAGGTTTGCTGGGGTCCTTGCGAGGCCACCGGGACTGGTCTAACCTGCCCTGCGCGGCTGAACCTCGAATTTCCGCGACCGTTTGCTATCACGTCGCCTTCGAACCGAAACGTAAACATGCTCTCGTGTTTACACCGCGCCCGTCACCGCCGCCTGTCGCTGGTCGCGCGCTCTCACTCCGGACGACGTTACTTTTGCAATCGCTTAACGAAGAGATGTTACCTCGTGCCTCTATACATCATAATTAATCAATCACTACTCGCAATATTGTCGATTGTTTGAATCGTTTAAAGTTTCGCAAGTTGTTTGTTTGTCGTCTATTGAATTGTGCCCGGTTAGAAAGTATCGCACGCAGCTGTCACGAAGACGTGACGCACGCTAGAGTGGAACGGATGGCTTCGAGCGAAGGGTTGAAGGAGCGTCTGTAAGGCAAACAAAACATTCGATACGGCCATTCATACCCGACTGTTTCTCAGACAAATCGCGTACCTCGATACGCAGCACGATCTACACCGTTGAATGTGGATCGAGTTTCTTGGTATATTTTTTAAATGTGTACTACGTGCAATGTAGTGTCCATGTCACTCAGATTTCTCAGAAATCTATCAATGTCAGTATGCATCAGGTGTTAGTCTATTTGAGTGGGTCGAGAAGTTCCGACTATCTTTAAGATATAATCGAAGTTCATCTCGCGAACGGCGGACTTTGGATAGATGTACATAAAAATAAAGTCAAAAGATCAATTCAATGTCAGATGTGTCGGTGACAGTGTAAGACGAAGATGCATCTGAGGCCCCGATGCGGCTAGCGATGCAGCGTCGCGGTGGCGGCGAGGTTGGCGGCGCTGCGGGCAGCGGCGGTGAGTTTCGAAAGGCGGCGCTGGCCTGGGCCGCGTCCGGTGTCGCGTCCGACTATCGATCATTCGGTTCGTTAATAAATAACACGTCGGCGTCGTTCGCCGCTTATCTCGGCTGTTCGGGCATGTGGAAAAATTTGGTGTAGGTGTCGTAACGGAGCGGCACGCATGTCGCGCAGGCTGCATGCGCCCGCCTGGCGCGCTATCCTCGCGGTCGTTGCCTCCCGCCTTCGTTGCATCATTATTAATCTTTTAATTAAAATCTTCAAAGGTACTAAATAGGTTCAATTTACAACATGTGCCACGTTAAAGATAACCATAAACTACTATTTTAATATTTAAAAATATATATTGTCATGTTATCAGTATCATTTCATAATCAAAATACTAACGAAAAAATATTTTACATGTTTGGCAAAATACATATGTTAAATTTGGCTAACATTTATATGCCTTTATTGGATAACGGTGATAGAATTCATTTCTACAATGTCCGTTTGTATATATTTAGAGAAAAGACGACTAAATTAATGAAAACAACAATATAGATAATTAAAACACAATCCATGACAGACTACAAATCAAATAACGGCACAAATGCGACGATAATACGAAACGTCATGGTAATATTTATAAAAAATAAAACAAATTCGTTCCGGTATCGACGGACGTGTCGTGACGAAACTAAGCTTTATCCAAAACGGTTCCATCGGAGCTTAAACACGGTAATTTATTTTGAGTGAATTAAAGTAATACCGTTGTTTTAGAGACGGCTCGGCACCTTATTCACACAATAAAAAACCCACACTCTTAGTGCACATTAGAATTGAAATGTCTCCAATTCATCACATTTAGATAACACCGACGACGATTTTAAAGTAATTTAAATTCTAGAAACTTTAACATTAGACTTTTTAATAGAATTAAATTAACAACAACGCGGCGTATACATAAATATCGTTTTACCTCACCGCCAACATCACAAAGATTATAGATTTACATTTAGCACGCTCTCATTTATAAAGTAATACAAATACAATTATTTACATTAATTTTGAAATACACAAACATAGGTCATCGCATTTGAATTTTTAATTGTATATCCAAATTTATAAGACTCTACAGTAGTAGCAATAAATAAGATATTATAAGGCCCCAATAAAGTTTTACTATCATGAACTTGCTACATCCAACTTTCACCAGGATATTCGTGCAATGTATGATATGTACAATGATTGAATATCGCAATAATTCAGGAAAGCTACTTTTATTTACGTTAATGACATAAAAGAGACATTTAAAATATCGTAATTTAAGTGAGATTTCAATATTAAGTAGTCAGAAATATACTTAAAGATATTGAACGAGTTTGAAAAGCACAATATTTTATTCAGCTTAAAAAATCGAGTTACGACATTATGCGTGGGGACCATCTATATGTGTAAAGCGAAATGCGATACGTACAGTTGTAAGTAACGACAAAGAACAAGTCGCCGCGCAGCCTCTCGGTCGGCAGGTGCGGACACTGTGTAGGCAGTCAGGGGAAAGTTCAGGGCGCGGCTCAAATCAACGCATGTTTTATCATCACTGATAAGAGAAACCAGTATCGAGGCTCGCTAATGACTCATTAAGAGCATTTGACTCAGGCTCTCCGAGCTTTATGTCTCTGATAAATAATGTAAGCTCTCAGTGAGTCTGCGCTTTCGTACTGTGTAACAGGTACTACGTTTTACGCGTAAATGTTACTACAGCGTATAAAAGTTACTAAAAAAAATATCATAAGTTTTAATATTTCTATTTTGAACGTTGTGTAATAAAAACTAAATGCCTAATTTCTCGCTCACAGTCTCCCAAAAACATAACACTGACAACAGCTAACAAAGAAAATAAATTATTTTAAACTCGATTCTATCTAGTCTTACTATTGATTAACAAGTGTCAATAAAAATTAACATAAGAATGAACGTCTGAAGACTTTTGTAAACAATCGATTAAGCGAACCGGAGAAAATACACAATTACCTATGAATCTATTTTATATTCCCACATTAAAGCTAACGATTGGAGCGGGAATGCAGCTATGCCGCATTTCGTCAATTAAAGAATTCGCAGTCTCGGATTGTGGCCGCTGGCCGCACGCTGTTATGGGGCCACAAAAACGGTACATTCTTCATACCAGTATAAATAAATAAGGGATGAGTACTGCTGCGAGCTACGGCCATCCAGCACAGAGCAAACTAAACGAGGTGCATTTTCGACAAACCTCTTTTTGCGCGCAGACGAGGTCCGCATATGCGATGATTCATTTACGGAGTTCTTCTCCGTACGAGTATGGCTAACATTATTACAACTGTTCTCGGCAGCATTATGTACGGTCAACAAGAAATGTCTTCTCAGAAATATGCGCCCACGCAGATTAAAGATGGAAACGCAACATGAACACTAAATATGTTATGCACTATAAAGAACTAGCATCGTCCAAGGATCAAAATTATCTTGGTTAGTTTTTTTTTAACTACGTTCAAGCTACAAAATAATAATGTTGATGGGGCAAAAATTACGGAATCTCGAATATCTAGTTCAAATCAACAAAGTATGACATATTAAGTATTCGTTTTATGTGACATGGATCCTT